AAAGGCGAGGACAAAGGCCGTGTCAGCGGCAGCCTCCTCGACCGGGTCAGTAGCGGTCAGTGGTGGACAGTGGGGGCCAGGGACCTTCCTGGCCCAGGCCTGAGGCTCCTCACCGGGCTCCTGTTCAGGGCCCGTGAACAGCTGTCATTGTTTGCAGGGCCAGCAGAGTAGGGGCCATGCTGCACGGGGGACAGGGACCCTGCCCCAGATAGCTCTAATCAGGCACCAGTAGCGAGGACGGCAGCACCCCCTCTGCTGGGCCCCCCTTCTCTTGTTTGCAGCTGCGCCGTGCTGGGGCACCCAGGAGCAAACTGGAGGGCCTGGTTGCCCAGCGGGTGACCAGGGACTGGAGGAATGACTGGGCAGTCAAAGAGGCCTTCCTGAGGGAAGCGGCAGCAAGGTGGAAGACTCATGGAGAGGCAGGAGAGGGTCAAGAAGCAGTGGCACAAAGGGAACCATGCACCAGGCAGAGGGAGGCCAGGCCAGCGTGGCCCACCCAGGAGCCTGGGCCCGGCAAAGGCCACGGGGTGGCAGGTAGGGACAGCATTTGGCCAGCAGGAGTGGGCCCCAGCAGAAGGGACGACTGATCCGGGAAGGCCAGGCAGGTGGGAGGGAGACCTAGGGGCACCCAGAAGGGAAGGGGTGGTGGGGGAACTGGCTCACGCCCAAGCACAGTGGTTTCGGAGCCTGCCTCTCCTCGCACCCCTAAACCTGGAGGGGCCTTCGCCAACCCCCACTGCCTGTGGCTCTGCCACCCCAGCCCTGCCCCCAGACGGATCGACAGCCCCGCCCAGCCATGCTCTCACGGCGACTACCCCAGCCCTAGGGAACCCGGTGTGACAGAAGCAGGGCGTGTAACATGGTCACCGCTTTGGGGACACCTTGCCACCGCGCTGTCCTTAGAGCATCCTCAGCAACCCCCATGCCTGCAAGAACCCCTACTCTGAGCATCCTCGGAGTGTGCGTCTACACTGCCGTGTCCTCACTGTCCCTGCAGTGTCCCAACTACCCACGGCATCCTCACAGTCTCTAGTGTCCTCGTGGTCCCCACAGTGTCCTCAATGACCCAGTGTCCTATGGCCTAGTGTCTTCACTGCCCAGGGACCCTACAGCACCCATGTCCTCTCGCCCCTCACTGTCCTGTGTGCACGGAGTCCTTCCTATCCCCAGGGTCCTTGCCGCCCCCCAGTGCCCTCTGTCTCACAGTGTCCTCACTGTCCAGGGTCCCCGCCAAGGGACCCTGCAGCTCCCATGTCCTCACCGTCCCCGTGGTGTCCTCTCGGTCCCTCCCAGTGTCCTACTGGCTGCTGTGTCCTCACTGCCCCCCAGTGTCATTACCCAATGTTTGCACCGCCCCCAGCGCCCTGTCTCAGTGTCCAGCCGTCTCCGCGTCCTCACTGCCCCATGTCCCCACTGCCCACGGTGACCTTACAGTCCCCACCGTGTCCTCACCGCCCTCATGTCCCCACTGCCCACGGTGACCTTACAGTCCCCACAGTGGCTTCGCTGTCCACAGTGTCCACGCTGTCCCACAGCGCCCCCTCTGCCCTCGGTTTCCCTACGCACGTAGCGTTCTCACTATCCCCAAGCGTCCTCAGGCCCTTTCCTGCACTTGGAGGAGGGGAATTACAGGTGGTGGTGGAGAGCGGTGATCACGACACGGGTTTATTCAGCACCAGAGTCTGGGAGGGTGACTCGCGGGTCCGAGCTGCGGACCGCCCCCCCACCTCTGCGCATGGAGGAAGAGC